AAGAAAGAAAGAAAGAAAGAAAGAAAGAAAGAAAGAAAGAAAGAAAGAAAGAAAGAAAGAAAGAAAGAAAAAAGAGAAAATGTGTTGGAAGTAGGGAAGTATTTTGAAGAGGTTTGGTAGTAATCTGTATTTTGCTGTAATAATAGTTTAAGTTTAAACATTTGCTGTATGTTGTAATCACATGTCATATATCTACCATATCCCTTTTGATAGGTTTCTTCAGGTGCATGGCAAAAAAGCAAAGGGGCTTTATTTTCTTTGAGGACATGGAGAGAATTTGGGGAAGATAAAGAATTTTCTGGTTGGAACAAAGGGAGGCTGAGGTTTTTATGGTCATTTGACAGGGGTAGAGTTGTTTTGTTTTGTTTTGTTTTGCAGTACAAGGGATTGAACTCAGGATCTTGAACTTGCCAGGAAAGCGCTCATTCTACTGAGCTATCTTCCCAGCCCCTGGGTGGAGTTTGAAGGGGATGTTTAGATATACACAGGGGGCTGATTGATGGTTGTCCCTGAAGCGGCAGGAAGGGTGAAAGGAAATTGCACCCTGGGCTGAGTAGGAGAAGAAGGGGGAAGGTGATCTGGGGGAAGATGGGCTTTTGTTTTAAGGGCTTGAGCCATATTAGATGACCACCATGATGATTCAGCAATTCATACTAGGGCCAGAACCTATCACCTTTTATTGCATTTAGCACTTTTATTGCAATTAGAACTTTGGCATTTAGAGAGAAAAGTCTTTTGTGTCTCTCAAATAAATAAATTCACAGAGCTCAATGCAAAGTGCCAAATGAATGCTTATTAGAAAACTAAAATGTTATTTTCACAATTATTTCTTTTCTTATAAGAAGTAAAACCATGCTGTTATGTTGAGCTGTAGGGGTCTCAGGTCAACAATTTCTGACATTGCCAGTCAAGTGGAAGACCCAATACTATTATGGACTACTGGACTCTTTTAGAATATTTTGCTGAGTTAACACACCTATAATATTCAAATAACGGAACTAAACAAAAAAAAAAAAAGGGGGATGAAGATGAATGTCCATTTTGTATCTGTGTATTCAAAATGGTTAGGATAGATATATAGTTACATTCACTTAATGAATAGAGGGATTTGTTCTAATAGTGTTTGTAAACAGGATATCATGTCCGCATCTCACACAGCAATTAAGCACTAGGAAGAATGTATGCAATGTGTTAATTATTGAAACTGTTCTGCCATTTTGGTTTGAAACTGTCTCATTGCTATTTGTTTCTCAATAAAATTATGGAAAAATAAATAAAAAAATAAAAATAAATAAAAAAAAACCAATTATTTCATTTCTACTTTTTTCTCTTAAAACTAGTGTCTGTTATTTTCCCTGGATGTATGAGCTTCTTCATTGACAATTTCTAGAGTTTTTGCAAGTCCTGAAAGAGTTTACCTATAAATAGAATAAGTAGAATAGCAATGCAGATTTCATTATAAAGACCTAGTAAAAAGTACCTAAGGTAGTGAAGTTTTTAGCAGCAGCAGGTTAAAATCATTCTGTTCAAATGCATCTTGGAAATATATTGCTGTGCAAATAAAGTAAGACTAATGACTTTCTAATGGACTGTCTTCCCAGCCTCTACAAAAGTATCTTGTGACGTTGTCTGGGACAAGGACCACAATGCACACATTTGCTACCAATTCAACCTGCTTTCATTTCTCTCTTGGAATGAGGCACGTGATTCATGTCAGATGCAAGGAGGTGATTTATTAAGTATCGAGGATAAAAATGAAGAAAATTTCATAAAGAGTAAGTAGACAGATGATGCACATTGATATTTATGCAAGAAAAAAAATTGCTAACAATTATGTTTATGTATGCAAAACTATATTTTGAAATTTTGCCCTAAAATTATTTTTACTTCCTTTTTATGGCCCAAACACTTACTCAGAATTTCTCCATGAGCCCCAGGCCTCTCCTTCAGACAATCAGTCCTGTCTTCCCATTTCCTGCCCTTAACAGAGAGAGTTCAAGGCAATTCCTGCTCTTCCAAAGACCTTAGTCATTCAAGTCTGATGATGAATAATTAAGTAACCTATTAATTGACAGCACATTTATCACCTATTGTGTGTAAACATATCTTACATCTTTTAATGGATGCCAAAGAGCTTAAAATTTAGTGGGAAAAGCAAAGTATGGGCCTGTTAACCAACAGTGTACACAGTAACAGAAAACAGCAAAGGAGCTGCATTCATGAGCGAGATCAGTTTTATTCATCACCTAAACTCTCCCCTTACTTCTCTCCTTCATATATTAAATGTATTTATGTCTCCTTAAATTAGTCACTGTCATTAAATGTTTTTGAGCATATGTTTTTCTCAATTTTTACTGGACATGTAGTACAGAAGGGTTTTTTAAAAATAATTTTTAATTCAGCCATATGGGAAGAAAAGTAAAGGAAAAATCTCCCACAGTTCTACAGCCTGGTGAGCTCTGCCTTCCTGCAAAAAAAACATATATATGCATGTGTACGTGCATAGCATCTATAAAAAAACAGTATTGCATAAAACATGAGCTGATTATTGCAGTATTTAGGTATTTAGGGAAGATTCATTTACCTGCCTGCATTTGAATTTTGTCTCTACTACTGATTAGTAGCACCACAAGGTCCTTAACCACTCTGTGCCTGAATTTTCTCTCTATCAAGTGGAAATAATAGTAGTCTGTACTTCTTCACATGTGTTACATCTTATAAAACAAGTGAAATCCTAGAAAAGTAATAGGCACACATAATAAAATACCCATTTTAAATACCCATGTATAAACCATTTAACACACCCACACCCTGTTTGACTGGCTGATTGTTTAATTTACCTTCATATAGAGAAAATCTGTCCATGTCTAGAAATATAGTTTGATATAATTTTGGTCTTTATTTACATATTTGTTATTACAAACCATCCTCTACATACCTTTATGCATTGTTCCCAAATTACTTCTCTTATAAATTTATACATATGAATTGCAACAAGAATGTAACAGATTGATGTGCTGGGCACACTTGCTCTTCCTCAGAGCTGTGCCAAAGCAGAGAATTATCACTGAAGCTGATTGGCGTGAATACTCTTGGAGGAATACACAAATTTCCAAAACAGTTACTAACCTGGAATGGTTTTTGTGTGAAAGTTTGTGCATCACTTATTTGTTACTAGAAGTCCAATGCGCTATCCATTGTGTCACAGAGCCACTTTGTGCATCACTTATAAACTTCAAGGGCTATCTGTCTTAATTACCAGGATCTCTTATAAAACTTGAATAATAATTTTTTAAATGCAATGTGTTGGAGAATGATTTAAAAACTTTAGCTCTATCATTAGACTTTGGGATTGTTGAGGAAAATAGAAGTCTGAGCAGAGTGTTAAAGGTGTTTGTTTGCTTTGTGCAGTAAGGAGGATTGAATGCCTTTACACTGAACTACATCCCCAGGTCATTTATTTATTTATTTATTTATTTATTTATTTATTTATTTATTTTGAGGCAGGTTCTTGCTAAGTCACTAGATTGCCCACTCTGTGTTTACCCTTGCAGTCCTCCCCACTTGGCCAAGCAGATGGCTGGAGGCACAGGCATGTGCTGCCACGCCTGGCCACCAAAGTATTTTTAATGACGAGGACAATACTACAAAGTTTCTTGCTAATCCCTGGTGGACATTAAGTATGGTATAGGGAATTACATAAGCTGTCACCAATGCCAAGAAACATTTGTATGCATTTGTGTTTGAATTTATTATTAGAGCATTATAGGCTAATTTAGTTGTAAAGGTAAATGAACTATTTCTGTACTTCTAAATACAGACCATAAATGAGAGAGTTACATGTGATTTAATAAAACAATTGCATAGCCAGTGTTCAAAATAACTCAAAAAATAATGATGTGCTGGTCCGATAGCTCAACAGACTAAAGCGCCTGCTCAGGCAGAGCGCAGTGGCTGTGGTTTGATCCTCGACCTGCCATGCGGGCCCCGCCCCCGGAGCAAGCTGAGCCGATGATTGAATCTGGGCAAGGTGGTGGCACCTGTAATCCCAGCTCTTGGGAGGCTGAAAAACAGGAGAATCACTACAAGTCCGATCTACATAGTGAAACCCTGTATACCCTATCCTAAATTTAAAAAAAGGGGGGGGGGCTGCCCCTTAGCTCAGTTCTTTATGTGGCTGCTTCAACAAAGCAGTTAGGCTCAGGTTGCTGTGGTTCCATCCCCACAACTCAAGCCAGGCAAACCTGCCCTGAAGGCATTCGGAGCCAGCAAAAAAAAAAAAAAAAAAAAGTGATGAATATTTAAATATTTTTATTAGATTTTTTAAAAGCTTTTTTGTACGTATTTTGTATAGTGTCTCACTATGCAGACTCATAGTGATCCTCTCGTTTTCAGCCTCCCCAGCGCTGGGATTAGAGGCGTGCACCACCACACCTGGGCTCGCTGGCCAGCTCAGCATGCCCAGGGGTCACGGTCCGCGCAGCATATGGTGCCAGGGATCCAATGTCCCTGCGCTTGCCTAAGCAGGGGCTTAGTCCGTGGAACTATCTTCTTTCTTTCTTTCTTTCTTTCTTTCTTTCTTTCTTTCTTTCTTTCTTTCTTTTTTTTTTTTTTCTGAGCTATCTTGCCAGCCCTTGATGAGATTATTTTAACATATCATCTGGCACTAACCTGAATATGAAATGTGGAAAATTTGTCCTGGAAATTTTGTTACTGCATCTTCAAATGTATCTCTGTCATTACAAGACCTATTAAGCGATTTAATCAAACACTTGCTATTGAAAACAGTAATCCATTATATATCAGGAAGAGATTTCAGGTTAATGCCACAGAAATAGGCTCATTCTGTTCAGTGATTTCTATGATCTCTCTTTCTAAGAGCCTCAGTTTCCTTCAGTTTTTCACTATTGCATTGAACTGTCTGATTGCTGAGGATGCTGTGGCCTCGTTACGTGAGCACACGGACGCCATACGGGGTATTTGTACAGTCTGCCATGCAACTCGAAGCTCTTAAGAGTAAAAGGGGCAATGATTAATTATTATTCTCAGACTGTCAGCATAACCCATGAGCTTCCCTGGGAAGCTGGGCATAGAGACACCTACTCACAACCCTGTCAGGATCCCAATCTCAGCATGGGTTTCTGCATCTGGTTCAGAATAAAGTGAGTTCTGAAACAGATGAACTATAAGAAAATGCTGTCCTGTGTAGGATGGTGAAATGGCACACCTTTGAGAATGTCATGAAATTGGCCATTTTCACTAAAATTCAGACACTGGCTTCTCCCCAAATGTTATTACACTAGTAGTACATGCATAGAAAAAAAAAATTAAAATTCAGGGCACAAAAAGAAACACTTTCCATAATTCTGCAACTTTGATGACTGCATTTTCCTGTGTATGTCGCTGCATGTGTATTTATTATCTTGTATATAACAATGGTACCGTGTCACGCCGGAAATTGCTACCGTGCAGGGGTTAGACTGTCGTAAACCTTTTCTACCGAAAGCACTGTTGCAGAAGCAGCCTCAAGTTTGTGCTGTGTGTGTGGCCATAGTCCTCACTTGCCCAGGCTTCTTCTCTATACCAGGTGCTGCTGCTTCTCTTGGCCAGGCCATTCCAGTGGCCTCACACACCTTCCTAAATTTGAAAACTTGTCTCTGCTCAGTTTCTGGGAGTGACCGTATACATTTCCTCCTCCCTTTAAAATTCTTTAACTTTGTGAGTTCATGAAAATAAAGTAAATTCAAAATTGTAACTACACACTCTGGAACAGACTGAGGACTACTGAATGAGAAAATTGCTGGACTCTCACATGAAGCACTTCAAGCTAAGAAATGCTGTCCATGAAGCTTTGGAAGATCATTGGATTCCTGAAGGAGACAGAGGTTTGCTTTGTCACTCTGGAGTACCTAAAACTCTTTCTGTCACTGTCTGGGATTAATTGATAGTTCTATAATCCCAGAATAGGATGAAGTGAGAAGTGTAACACCGAATTGTTTCTGAAGCTCCATAATTTTTTTTTCAGAGCATATGAGCAATAGCACACAGGAAGTGTGGATAGGTTTGAACCAGCTACATGAAGACACTGGCTGGCAGTGGTCCGACGGAACACCATTAAACTACCTCAACTTGTACCCAGGTACCATCAGCACTACTTTCTCTTTGGCAGGTGACATCATCCTGTGGCCTTGAACAGCAGTATTTCTCCTGTAGATATCAGGCATATTGTCCTGAATTACTCTAAGACAAGCTCGTTCTGACAAGAAGGGAGAGGCCAGGAAAGAAAGGATATTTAGCCAAAGTTGCAAAATGTGGGTCAGACCCAAAGTTTGGCCTTCTGTTTTAAAAGTAACAACATTTGGTAAATAATCTTTTAAATATCATTTTAAATGATAAAAATCAGTGTTTTTGTAAACCTCAGTGAAACATTGAATTCACGCCTGGATTTAACTGCAAAATCATTGGTACAACATATTGTCTTCTAGGATTTGCTATCTGAGCCAAAGGGAAGTGTCCCCTGGTGCTAAAACTCCATCTCAGGATGTGTTAAACACACACTAAACTTATGCATTGTATTTTCAGAGATCCATTTTGATCCATTTGCTGAACATTACTGTGGAACGTTTCATTCATTTATGCTAACTTCTTGGAGGAGTAGGGGTTGTGGGCTCCCTTTTCCTTATGTATGTAAAAAATATCTAAACCACACTGATCAGGAAGCAGCTGGTAAGTTTTCACACTGTTTTTACATGTTATTTTCTTGTCCTCTTTTTTGCTAATAATTCATGATTGAAACTTAGCTAAAACTGGTTTTTATGAATAAATATGTGTACCTAGATTATATCTGTATTCCAAAAACATTGTGAATCTAACAAAAGCATTAGTTTTACTTAAAATTAAGACAATATAGTGGTCGGGGAGATGGCTCAGTGGAATAAGCGCTTCCCTGGCAAGCGCAAGAGCCTGAGTTCAATCCCCGGTTCTGGGGAAAAAAAAAAACAAACAAAACAAAAAAAGACAATATAATGTTTTCTTCCTTATTTTTTTAAAATTTGCATTAGAAAAACCAAATATGTTCTATTTCTATTTTAATTTTGAGTTTTGTTTATGGTTGCTCTCTCAGTTGCTTTTCTCTCCTTGCTGGGACAAAATACCTGACAGGCAAAATTAAGGAAGGAAAGGTTTATTTAGCTCACAGTTTGGGGTGGTTTCAGTACATACTGATCTGGCTCCAAGGCAGAGTGGCATGTGGCAGAAGGTAACAGTTCATGGGAGTGGAAAAGAGCAAAGCAGCCAGAGAAAAAGGGAGGAGCAGAGACAGAGGAGCAGCAGCAGAAGCAAAGAGCAAGCCTCGCCTCCTTATACTGAATCCGGGATATCTGCCCCAGGGGAGGGGTAGCATTCACACCCATAATCCCAGCAGCATTTACACCCCTAATCCCAGGATTGGATAATGAATTAATCACACTTCTAGAAGTCCACCCCCATGACTACATGAGGCTTTGTGGGGAACAAGACACAAAGCTTAACATTCACTCCTGGTGCCCCAAAGACTCATATACAACCTTTTATGCAAAAGGCATTTTAGTCCATCTCTAAGAGTTGCCAAAGTTACTACAATTTCAGCACTGCTGAAAAGTCCAAGTCCCTAGTCTCCTCTGAGATCTAAGGCAAACTCTTAGCTGTGAGTCCCTGTGTAAATGAAAAGAAAGTTAAACACTTGCAACATTCAATGGCTCAAGAAAAACATCACAGTTCCAAATGGTACAAACAGCAGGATACAAAACTTTGGGTCAGAATCAAGTCCAAAATCCCACAGGGCAGTCAAGTCCTGTAGTTCCATGTTTAACATTTAAGGTGTCTTAATTACTCTTCTCTCGTTGCTGGGACAAATGCCCTACACTCAAATTGGGGAAAGAAAGGTTTATTTAGCTCACAGTTACTGGAGGTTTCAGTCTATACTCAGCTGGCTCCAAGGCAGAGTGGCACATGGCCAAGAGCAACCCTTCATGGCCACCTGCAAAGAGCAGAGAGGAGCCAAGGAAGGAGCAGCAGCAACTGTGCTACAGTGAGGAAGTTTGTCTCTCTGTCTCTCTTATGTTACATTCAGAATATCTGCCCCAGGGTGGGTGTAGCACTCACGCTCATAATCCCAGCAGTACTCAGACCCATAATCCCAGCCTTGGATCCCGAATTAACCGCAAACTGTAGAAGTCTGCCCCATGATTGCATGAGGTTTTGGGGGGAACAAATACACAGAAACTTTAACAGAGACAATCTGGCAAATTGTGAGCTCCATGTGGCTCTACCTCTGTGGTAGTCTTGGTGGTAGCTCCCATGGCTTCTTTCTTAGTCCTGCTTTGCTCCTTTTTTGAAGTTCATGGGGTGGAAAACAGCAAAACAGCCAAAGTAAGAAGGAGGAGCAGAGACAGAGGAGCAGTAGTAGGGGCAAAGAGCAAGTGTCTCCTCCTTCCGCATACTGCATGCAGAATATCTGCCCTAGGTTGGATGTAGCATTCACTCCCATAATCCCAGAGGCACTTACACCATTAATCCCAGTGTTGGATAATAAATTAATCACAACCTCTAGAAGTCCACTCCATGACTACATGAAGTTTGGTGGAGACATCTAAACACAATCCATAACAGTCACCCTAGAAATTATACCTAAAAAGAATTTTCAAAAGTTTTACTTCACTGATTTTCTCTTTTGTTGTTGTTAGCTTTTTAAATTGACACATGATTTATGGAGTACAATGTGCTATTTTGTTACAAGTATACATTGTATAATGATCAAATCATGGTAATGAGCTTATCCATTACTTCGAACATTTATCATTTCTTTGTGATGAGAACATGTAAAATCCTTCTCTAGTGTTTTGAAGTATTCCATGCATTATTTATAATTAGAACCACCCTGCTGTGCAATAAAACCAGAACCTATCCCTTCTAATTGTCATTTTGTACCCTAATTATTGATTTTATGCCATATTCTATATCTCTCTTTAAAACCCTATCCTCTCCCTGACCAGGGGGTACAACATACAAAATTGGGGGTAATTGAAACAATACCTAATTATAATCTAATACTTATAGTAGAATAGTTTTTGTTTTCAAAACAGTATTTTAAAACAGTAAAATAATATTTCTTTTTAGCTTATGTAGAAATTAATGTCTTACCTCAAAAGTAGACATAAAACAATCATCTTTTAAAGAATTCTTACAATAATAACTCTAGATTTAAAATAAACTTGTTATAATTTTTTCAGTATTGCCCCTTATAATTAAGGTTAACTGCTCTTTTCCTTTAAATTGCTAAGCCATGGGCCAGCCAAATAACTCAGTGGACTAAAATGCCCGCTTAGACAGGGACTGAGGCTCGATCCCCAGCATGCCTTGCTGGCCCCGCCCCCAGGGCATGCTGAGATGGTGATTGAGACTGGGTGTGGGGCCCGAGAGATGGCTCAGTGGAATAAGCACTTCCCTGGCAAGTGCAAGGGCCTAGGGCCGTGGAGCCTGGGCATGGTGGCACCCACCTGTAAACCCAGCACTTGGGAGGCTGAAAACAGGAGGATCACTAGGAGTCCCATCTGTGTAGTGAGACCCTGTAGACCCTGTACTAAAATACATAGAAAGTAAAAAATTAATTGCTAAGCCAGGAAGAAATGTAGCACAGAGGGTAGGAAGGGAAGAAAAGCAGCATCCTGGCATTCTTTTTATTAGTCCATGTTTATAGTGCATAATGTTCACCTTCCTGATAGACACTAGAATGTATACCACACTTTAATTCCTTTTGATCGTCTTTCCCTTCTCCCCTTTGCTCTCCATCCATCTCTGTTTTTATGCAGAGATTTTTTTCCATTATTTGAAGAATTTTCTAAATTTACTACTGGCTATTGCTTTTTCCTCCTTCTTCTTTTTTCATTTTTCTTTCTCCATTTCTTACTTCTTTATCTTTTCATTCTACCCTAAGCCCACTAACACTCCATCCTGTCACTTTTCTTTTGTCTGTCTTATTTATTCTTCTAGTCTACTAATTGAGGCCAGGAGACAAGAAGTGGAGGGAATTGCACTAAGCATGTTTGAATTATTTCTTGTTGCTTTGAATTCAACAAATTCTTCTGATAACCTAGCCTTGTGCTTTTAAACTGTATATCTGAGATACTGAGGTTCTTTTAAAAAAAAAACCTGAAATACAAAATTATGCTTTTTAATGGGGTGTCATGTAATGTTTCCATACAAATACACACTGTGTAGTATTTGGCAGGTTAAACATATGTCCTTAAACTTTAATCATTTCTTTATGGTTACATTTATCAAAATTCTTAAAGTTTCTCAAAATGTACAACACATCATTGTTACTTGCAGTCACCTTACACATGCTGAAGCACTCCAAAACCTCCCAATTCCATCTAACTCTAACCCAGTGCCCATTCATCAGTCATTGCCTGGCTTCCCCCCTACTCTCTATGGCCTCTATGCCACCAACTTCCATGACACCAACATTCTTCAACTCCACATATGAGCCCTATATATTAGTTACCATATATGGTTCTATACTTATCTTTCTGTGTCTGGCTTAGTCCAGTTCACATAAAAATCTCCAGATGCATGCAAGTTGTTGCAAATGATGAATTTCAATCATTTCATAGGGGAATGATATGCTACTATACACTCATACCCAGTTTCTCTACCAGTTCATCAATTGATAGACACTTCAGGTTTGTCCATTTCTTGAATATTGTGAATAGTACTACACTGAACATTGGAATGCAAATGCATATGACGTATTGTTTTCATTTCCTTTGACTATATGCTCAGAAGTGGGATTGTTGGATGATATGGCAGTTCTTGTTTTAAGTTTTTGAGATGCCTCTATTGTTTTTTATTATAGCTATACTAACTTATAGTCTCACCAATATTGAGTGAGAGTTCATTTTACTCTGCCCCCTTGCCAATACTGTATTTTTTAGCCCTTTTGCTAACAGCCATTTTTGTTGGGGTGAGGTGATAACTCAATGCACTGTGATTTGCATTTTCTTGATGATTACTGATGCTCGCTTTTTCATACATGTACATATTGACCATTTGTACAAGTGTCTTCTTTGGGTTGTCTATTTAGAGCTATTGGCTGGTTTGTTTGTTTGTTTGTTAGTGTATTTGATGCTCATAGTGATCCTCCTGTTTTCAGCCTCTCCAGTGCTGGGATTATAGGCATTACCACCACATATGATTTCAGTGACTGGCTCAGTGCCCCTGAGGGCAGAGCTGGAGGGGCATGTGATCTCTGCACTCGCCTAAGCAGGCACTATTGGCTGGTTTCAAATTTTTGTTTTGTTTTATTTGTTATTTTGTTTCTTTCTTTTTTTTTTTTCCTGTTTGGAGTCTCTGGATAGTGTCCCTTGTCAAATATATAATTTGCAAATATCTCAATTACGTAGGCTATCTCTGCATTCTGTTGATAGTTGCTTTTGTCTTGCAGAAGAGTTTTAGTTAAATATAATCCCATTTGTCTGTTTTTCCTTTCCTGTGCTTTCTGAGCTACTATTCAAAACATCCTTGCCCGTTTCAATGTCCTGAAGCATTTTCACTGTTTTCTTCAAGTACTTTCTTAGACTCAGTTCTTCATTTAAGACTTTAATCCATTTGGAGCTGTTTTTCGTAGTTTGTTTAATCCATTTCAAGTTGTTATTTCTGTGTGTGGATATTTAATTTTCTAGAACCAT